ATCATAGTACGAGAATCCAAACAGGTGCACACAGCTTCCGTCGTATTCTAGGTTGAAGAAGGCTTGGCCAACATCAATGCCTGCGTACCATACGTCACTAGAGGGTAGCTCAGACAAGCACTCATCTACGGAGCGCATGTAGGTCCCCCAGCTAGGTAGCAGGTCCATGACGGACTCATTGATACACCTTTCATCAACGACGAGACGATAAGCACGATCTACATTATCCTCAGTCAAGGGCTCGGCAACGTCGTCTGCGGCCGCTTTCGGTACCGCAAACGCAGGAGAGATCCAAACTTGACGATGATCGACCGCTGCACGTGATAGGCGAGTGATGATCCCGCTCTTCTCGAGATTCTTGACCATGAGCTCCATGGCCTGCATCTCGCGCTTACGACACACATATGGCCGCTTGGGACAGGGTCGCACGGCACCAGGTTTCAGCTGGACAGTGACCTTGGGGAACGACCATCCCTTAAGACGTTCGTCCACCTTACTCCTACTGGGCAACTTGAGCCGTGTATCAGTGAGAACGCTGGAGATGCTCCCGCCGCTATAAGGTGACAAGGACCAAGTTGAACCCAATGCTCCGCAATAGAGTGTATCATCCGTAGTATGCAAGGTGGCCTCCAAACGCTTGAGGGTCTCCATCCCCAAAATTATAGTGGACCTGCCCAGTTTCATATTGAGGCCGTCGGCAACATTGAGCTGCAAGTTGAAGGAGAGGTCATGGCCCGCCTTATCCTTGACAACTAACGGAACCCGAGCCTGCCCTATCAAGCAGATGGAGCCTAGCGATCCAGCCGATTCGAGCTTTTTGAGCCCCCTAGCTGGTGTCACTTTAAAGCCCATAATGCTCGCCGACGAGGATGATATTAATGTCAGATCCGAACCAGAGTCGACCAGCAGTTCTACTGGTAGAATTCGGCCGGATGAACCGGTAGCAGAAGCTCTGATGACGCGTAGGCCTTCATGAGCAGAGTCAACGGAGCGTGGCATGAACGTCGATTGGACGGCCTTTGGGACGGTCTCTTGCCCGTCCCCTTGCCCTTTCGATGCCTTGGCTGCTGCAGCTTCAGCTTGGCGCTGACGATACCAGTCCGGAACCAAGTGAGCGTTCGCAGGGTTCTTCCAGCAGCGCGCGTCGTCGTGCTTATTCGCCCCTCTGTACCTTCGAGTAGCACAGTAGGAGCATCCAGATTTGCCATCCTTCGAGTTACCTCCACCAGCCGCATTGTCCCTTCCCACAGGATGTTCTTTGACCTCCTTGGCTCCAGGATTATGCGACTGGGGGGCCTGACCATAGGCATCCGCTTGTTATGGAAGGCTTTGCGGAGAGTTTAGATTCATGATATAGGGCCGCGTCCCGAGCCTCCCCTAAGGGCAGCTTAGACAGCAGATGTCCACAGCTGGTTTCTAGAGGTGCCTTTATCTCAGGGAGCAGTCCCCCAACGAACTTGGCAGAGACAAATGGCAAGGGTAAGGTGACGCCAGACACAGTGTGTCAGACTCGTGTCACGAGAGAAGAGCAACCATTCACTCTTAATGCGGGCATAATATTCGTCAACCTTCTCGCCAGTATTCTGTTTGAGACTCTCCCAGCGTTCGCTGGCCTTCTCCGATGTATCAGTTTCGAGAAACCGAGAGTCGAGGTACCCCCACACAGCAGACGGAGCCGGTTGGGCTGTCCCAAGATGTGTGATAAGTTCGGACCTCAAGCTCTTCCCGATGTGCCGGAGGAGGAAGAGCATGCAGTCTCGCTCGTTATCGATACCATGGAACTTGATTGACGTCTGCACACCACCCTTGAAGGCAGAGTAGGGAGTGGCCGACGTCGGACCTTCGAATTCTGTATATTCAAGTGGGAGTCTGAACACGTTCAGAGGAGCCTGCCTTCGGGAGTGCGAAGCCGTGGACGATGGTTCTCCATCGCCAGTGGGACTTACTGCTCCTGCGATGGAAGGTGAACGATTTGTGGCCGAGCCTGTGCCCCCCATAGCAGTGTCAGCAATGAGGGCTTCGAATAGGGCGTCGAAGTAGTCGCGATCGTTGCCCAGCTCGATGCTACGCACCAACCGGTACTTCCTCTTAGTAGATATGACCGCGAGAGCACTCGCTAACCAAAGCAGAGGCCGAATGGGCATCCCATGTACCAGCCCTGCATGAAGCACCATGCTTAAGATCGCCCTGGCGAAGTCCAAGGGTGCCTGAGCAGCCGCTGGACTCCCTCTGCCCTCAACCTCCGCGTCATTGGATACCATGGCCGAAGCCCAGTTAGAGACGAATGCCCTAACCCCTCTCAGGGGTATGGCTTCGAGCTCCAAGAGCCTGGCCAGGAGATAATCCATCTGGGCCGAGGATATCAGGCTAGGGTCGAAATCAAGTGAGAATGATTTGAAACCAGGACCAAGAATGAGAGATGTTCTCCATTTCCTAATCTCTGTAGCGTCTTGGGGCTCAAGTATGGTTCTTCCCAGTGACAACTCAGGAATCCTGAGTCAGGATCATTTGAGGGTTCGGAGTCATTCATTAGGAAATGAGGGTGATCATATCTGATACCGATGTCATATGAATCAATAAGTTTGACCGAAAAGAATAATGGGCAATCCGGAGGCTTCCAAAGCACAAGCAATGAGCAATGGGGCACGCACACACGTAGTCTGATCGATTGTGTTCGGGCGACGACGACCTAAGTAGTCGCACGCACGCGAGAGCAGCCTCAGCACAGAGACCTTCCTAAGAGTGGAACGCTGTACGTGTAATATAACCGAAACGTACAAAAGCCGTGTCATGTATTGTAGGAGCTCTAATTCAGGACAACGCATCTTTTTATTCCCGATAACAACATGTGATGATAGTGCTGTTACTTCAGGCCCCCGCTGTGGTAGTATACCCATAAAGAACTACCTACAGTTACCCTTCGCATAAGGGCACCTTTCATGTATCCTACCAGCATCAAAAGAAGAGTCCTCTTCTTGATGCTCGCCGACAATAGTGTATAAGATCTACCCACACTTTTGACTAAGAATGTATGCGGGACTCACAAAGCGTACCCCTGAACTCGAGTCGCACTCAATCGTCTGTGGTTCGAATCGTAACTGTGAACTCGACAACAACAACACCTCAAGAGGACATGAACGTCTTTAACATGGCCGACATCTGATGTGATTTAGGTGAGGGACAAAAAGGAGTTTCAGTAGCCGAACGAGGTGTATTGAAAGCCGGCGAAACCGGTAGGACCTGAGCCCAACCCAGATCGAGAGTGATGATAGATAGAACTGTTGACACCTTGTGAAGCTCTCCGACCTGACAGGGGCTGTGCTGTTTGAGGCCGTGGATGCCCAAAACCGAATCTACATGGATGGAAAGGTTGCAGCGACAAGGTATCGAACCCGATACCTACTTCCGTCCACTTAGCCCAATACCATCCTTCTGTGAATATGCTCCTGGACCAGGGTTGAAATCCTTAGCTCCTCTACGAGAAGGACGTAGGGCCCGACTATGATGATGAAGGTAAACCCCACCTGATAGGCTTCCGACAAGAGGTCCCGAAGGTCCATTGTGGCCCCTTGTTGTATATAGAGGAAGGACAACTCACTCCGTAATGTCCTGGACCAGGCATGCTGGCTATGTCAGAGACTGAGAAAAGAACTGTCACGGAGGATCGAACCTGGATCCATACTGAATCAACCCTCAATCGTAACCAATACACCAGAACAACCCACATAAAACAGCTGAGAATTACAATCGAGGTTGTGTCTCGATCTCATGCTATACATCTTCCCGGACCTCCCCAACGATCCCGCTGCATCGTAGTGCCCCGGACCCGGCCCGATACTCCTCTTTGAAGACCCATAAGAATCCATCCTGAAATGGCTATGACCACCTTCCCATGGCCGAGGACCAGTCACCTGCCAATACCAAAGCCGATCCTTATCGAACCACCGGCATCCTTTGGGCTGTACGTCCCCGGCCCGGGACCGCCATGCGAGCTTCGCTTCCCCTGATTGTGACAATGAGGAAGGACCCTCCATTGGAGGGCCTTCAAGACGGGACTCACCCCATCCCGACGTCCTGTACCAAAGCGATAAGATACTCCTTTGCCCACATCACTTGACCGTGATACTGTATACTGACCTGAACCCTAACCTCAGGTCCACACCAACCTTCAGCAGTGGATTACCCGGGCCAGGGACCATATTGCCCCTGAGGGCATATTCGCTATGGGACCGCCCAGCGATCGACCATTTAGGAGACGTACGAACCTACCCCGGCGATTGGAGGGGGTTATGATACGTGGCATCGATAGCCCACTACTACTACCCGGGATATCTTCGTGAGTTGAGTGGCGTCTTGAAGGCCAGAGTAACGGAGAGATGGGGAGGTTGTGACTGGCCGGGCGGAATAGAACGACATTGAACAAGAGACTTAGTAAAACTACGAGGACTTGAACCCGGGCTGTCCGAAACTGAGTTCAGTACCCTAACCATTCCACCGAAACACTTCAATAATCTCGAGTAAAGCCTGGTGGTATAGAGAAGCTCATCAGACCTCTTCTCTTAATTATTGCATCCCCGTCTCCATCACGATGAAGATTCACACTACCACCAGCCGGCCCCGCCTGTTGACTCTCCTCTAGAGTAACGAAGGCCTCATCAGACAACTTTACATCAAGGCGTTCCTCGATCTGTAGACACTCTCCCTCTTCCAATCCTGGGTCGAAGCTGATAGCCAGCTGATAACGAAGCAGCAGCCGAGGAGAGGGTATGGATCAACCGGGAGCATGGGTTCACCGACCCGCCCTTCGTATTCAAAGTCTTTACATTGTCATCCAACTTTCACAGGCTCTCCTCACTGACGTTTACTGCACCCCCTCACCCTTCCGCCATCCGCTACTTCTCAGCAACCTACGCCGATTTTCACTCAAGATGTCACAACAGGTTAACCTAATCAGTTGCACGGGCGACCGCTCCTCGCAGTTACGCCGTCGCTGTCTCGTCTCAATTGCGACTACTCAATCGTGGCTGCTGTTCGCGATGCTAATTCTGTTGAATCCTGAGGTCTGATATATATCAGATATGCCCATATTGATGGTCCAAAGTCGACCATTGGAGACTGTAAGCCTCAGTCGATCTCTCGGAAATGAGTATTAACTACCGTGTTGTCATCACTATGCTACCAACTCGCTCTCATCTCTCGCTTCATACTACGAAAAACAATCTTTCGATCAACTGTGCTCACTCATCATGCCATTCTGTAGCTCCCGTGACTTCTCAAAAATAGACAAGTTGATCGGATATCGCGAGAATGCCTTAAACGCGTGAAAGCATGGTAGAGGGGTAGACCTCGATTTTTAAGAAGATGGGAAAGCAAAGTGGAGGCCGAACAGAACACCCTACTCTAAATTACAATGAACTACAATGTCGGCGGATGACGGCACTGGGTAGATCTTTACTTGATGCAGAACTGGTCCAGTAGAAGGACTACTACCTTCCATATACGGCCACAAAACCTCGTCAGCATCATCTCAAAACTAATCGAGTGGCTCATCGGACATGTCTCCCGTATGGACTCTGATGACAATAGTAAATGATGATGGCTGCTCCTCTGTCGAAACAGGTGAGTAGGATTCATCACAGTACCACCACCAACTCCTGTACATCCAACCTGTCACGATTATGAAGGGTAGAATCAGGTACAACAGCGGGATTGAGCTCTACATCTCGGCGAAATTAAGGTTACTTTAGTCGTGCAATTCAAGATGGTCCTCCTATCGCATGCTCCTGCAAAATTCATTGTACTAAGGCAATGCTTTGAGTTGTGGCATAGGTGCCCCACTCAGTGCCGCTGAGTCAGTGGGATTGATTGAACTGAGACACATCTTCCAAGTTATGGCATAGGTGCCCCGCCCGATGCAATTGATTTCACTGACAGCGAATTAAGCCGCTCGATAATTTAGTACGACACTGCATATAATTACGCCAAGCTCACATCACCACACCTTCTAATACACGTAACCTCAAGGAGGATAGTTCAGCAGCTCCTTCACTCGTAGGAGGATAATACCGTAAATCCTACACATCGTACAATGATGTGACTAGTACGTGGTAATCTAACTAGCCCACCCACACTCAGCACGAGCCAGCGGATAAGGTGATCGCTATAACTCCAACCACACCTGGGCTTCTTCGCCACTCAATAACACAACAACGAACTGGACGAGTAAGTAGTTGTAGCAACAAGTTGGGCTGTTACGGCGACGATGATGTCCACGAACCAGCTCATTACTTTTGGTTCGAGTTGGGACCTCTCTTAGGGCCACCAGTCACCTTGGCAGAGAAGCGACGGTTGTACTGCATACGCTTGCGAGCGCGGCCTGAAGGAAGAATACGATGAAGCAAAGGTGTGGTATGAGTAGTCATAGTACCAGTGATGGCCTTCTTCTTCTCCTGCTTGGGGACCTTGGGGGTCTGATTCTTAACCTTACCGGCACGAGCTAACGATCCGTGAACTTTTCCCATGGTAAAGGAAGGGTAACAACAACAGCCAGCAACTACCTATCACATATCTCACCAACTTAAGAGACTCTCACCCAACCTCCATCAACAAGGGAAAACACCCTCATAGCGAGACTAAACCGACAAGAGCAACCCCTTCACAAACGCTGATTAACGCTTGCTCAAGGCCATCTATTAACGCGTCCAGGAGAACTGTCAAATGACGCCTGAGTACCCCTAGACCCGTAGAGGATCCTCTTCTCCTCGAAGCCATATCGCTAATAGATAATCGATCAGGTTGGCGAGCGAGATCTAGACCAACTTTGACAAGATTAGCAGATGGTTGACGGAAGAAAGAGAGCTGGGTTGAGTTGCACAGACACTCAGATTAGGTCATAACCTACTCCGTATCTTACAACAGTCGACCAACTTGGATACTCGATGATTCGTCGATTTTCACTATTTTCTCTTGCCTTGGTACTCGCTCTGTTACTGTGTGCCGATGCGGAAGGAAGGGATTACAAATATACAACATACCGACACAGTAATAATATCTTCCAACCTCACGAGGCGGTGCCTTCAACCTAAAGATACTCTCAGGCGGAAATACACGTATGGAGCTAATGCGTCATAGCTTTGTGAGTCCACTAACATATTCCAACACTCTTGGTAAGATACAGATTAGGGTATACCAACAACATGAGTGATCTCTTATCAGCTGATTGGTTCTTGAATGGTGCAACAGTAGCTACAGACAACCACGTTATTCTCACTCCAAGCATCGCCCAACGATATGGTGTCTTCATGCATACTATGCCGATCGATACCTCTGACTTCGAAATCCTATTCGATGTCTCAGTAGGATGGGAGTATCTTATGTTCGACATTGCAAGATACAAACTAGGTCCGATTGGAGAACATCGTGTCTTAGGTATCTGAAGGCCCTTCTGGTAGTCGTGACTCTGGCTTTGCCCTATGGTAATGAGGAACCCAGAGTTGTGGCTTGTTAGGAAGCACCTCAGGTTCACTACGATGAACTATACCGCTGAATTCTCCAAAGTTCGTGACGAACTCAAAAAAGGAGACAACAAGAAGGATTGGAGAGCCGCTTTCAACGCCCTTGATTACACTTTCCTCGGGCAGAAGGTAGGTTGGAAGATACACATCTTGTTGTCAATCCTCCTCTCCCTTAGTCTCGTTTCGAGGGCTTTGGGATCGTCTTTACCCCTAAGGGAGCGTCTGGGGATGAATACACAGGTAAGTCGGGTCATTCACGGATGGTGCTTGTACGTGCGAACATCATTATTATCAGCAGTTTTCACTTAATTCACAATCTTTCTCGTTCACGTCAAAGACAATGTGTTCGATTATTCGCTGATCTTCTGTGCGTTGCCGAAACTGATAGGGAAATTTCTCGAGAGATTATAGCGTTCCGCCCTACGCGGCTGATGGTATCGTGTCTGCTTGGATGAATGCCTTTTGGTCATCTTTCCAGTTTCGATCATCACCAACCGGAATGATCAGACGTTGTCATTCGACAGAGACGTGCCTGATAGGCAAGCTTCAGCGAGAGTCAACTTACATGCAAACGGTGCTCCTGTGCGGGTAGTATCTTAGGTTGCACCATGCAAGATTCAAAATAGGCCTAAATGCTCCTCAGATCGGAATTCGCGTTCGTCCTGATCTTATCATGGTCCGGTATCGTGATGGGAACAAACATTGGAGTGATCTCACCACGAAGAAGGGTGTATCACTACCGTAATAGATAATTCATGCCATACCTTCTCCACATCACATGTAGGTCATCCGGTTACCTCGGCTTTACCTCATGGAGCGGCGAGTCTCTGCCCACTGAGAAGGTCTCCATTATAGACATGCATGTGTAAGTCCATCGACCTTCCTATCACCTCATTATAGCCATACCAATACATGTCATATTATATCTTATCACCAATAGCAATATATAATTGTATTATAATAACCGTTATATACTAGCTGTTAATAGCTCAATATTGTTTTTATAGTAACTTTCCTCACTTATCATAATACCATCAGATACAACATGGACATGCGAATACCAGGAGAGGACCTGCCACTGGAGGTCGTGGAGGAGCTTTCTGATGGTGGAAAAATCGATTGGAAGGAGGTAGTAGTCGTAGTAGTAGGATGATGATGATGATGTGATTCGGAAAGGCTGGTGGGAAATTATATGCGTATTACTCCTAGTGGGAGATCAACTCGGCTCAAACCATCGATGGCGCAGTGAATGAGTATTGGTATCGTTGGTCAGTTGCTCACAAAGCAAATCAGTGGGGAGGATACCTTCCAACAGACTCTTACCATTCAGAAGGTTACTCAAATCCTCCTTAACTACATACAGACGACCCAGCCTGAGCTGGCTAAGGTCCATTCCCAGCTCGGTAGGTCATCCCAATCAGTGTGATGCACGATAGTCTCTATCAGGACGGATAACGCATCAAGTAATTGACTTGGAGTCTCGGATGAAGCAGTTGAGGAAGGAGATCAAAGCTACAGGCGAGGGTATCTTTGGGCCACCACCGCACAGTGAAGATTTTGAGGATATCTTGTAGGGGTAGGTTCTGGTGGGTTATCGACTTTGAAAAACCAGATGGTTGGTTTGAAGGAGATGCTAACGCGGGAATCGGGTGACCATGAGGTAAGGAAGGTCGTAGTAGGCCATCGATATCAATGGGAAGGTCGTTGGCGAATAGCTCGGATAGCGATGGAATCTTCCCTGTGCGCTATCTCGATCAGAACCGCGTTCAGAAGGTCCGAGAACAGTTGACAAAGGTTGATGGTGGTGGGGGACGGTAGTGATGGGCGGAGCGAAGCGTTGCATGTTGTGCATTTTGCGTTAATGCTGTTCAGGTCGTTGATAAGTGATGACTTGGAAGATTCCATCAGCAGCTCACATAGCTTGGCCAACAAGTTGTTCATGCTGTGTAAAAAGGGAGGGGCATAACGAGAATCTTGCAATCTTGCTCGTTCTTGCATTTCCTCAATGTAGGTATCGTAGTGGTTGTTGTTGGCGGTTTGTACGTTTGGCGACAACTTCAAGTTGTGGAGAAGAAGCACCTCTTTTGATTTCGGGAAGGCATGGGAATATCTTTTTTCTCACAGGCTTGTAAAAGGAGGCGGAGCGAAGCTATATTTCTTGATAGGGTGATGGAAGAATTTTATGGCGAGTGACAGAAACATCCCTTATTGTAGACAAGTTTCCTCGTTTCGAACGTCTTTGCGGGTAGCGTTGGTGGGACTGACGAGGCGTATCTTTAATTCTTCCGGCTGCGTGTTGAGGATTTTCCTCCCTTATTTCCGGATCATTTGACATGTGTGGTTTATTTTCAAGCGGAGCGTAGCGCATGAGACAAAAACGGACAGCGAGTGGTAGTCGAAATCATTTTTATCTTGGAAGATATGTCGAGTTTGGGGAATGGGAAAGATACGCTTGATGCGCACAGGGAAGATTTTCTGATTATGAGAGGTGCTAAGAAGGGTCGCTGGGACTCTATGCGGTTCTATCGACTTGGTCATATGAAGCATGGGAAAGAGAAGCAAGGATTCCGTCGGATTGGGCCTAGCTTCCGGTAGGTCTTAGCGGAGCGAAGCTATGATGATATTTGTTTATCTAGTAGTAGCAGGAGGGGAGGTTAGAGGGTGCTTGCGAATGCTGCAATGTTCCAGGGATATCTACACGTTAGTCCTTAGCGGAGCGAAGCAGCTATTGTTGATTTTTAAATTTGTATTGATAGAGTTTGTGCGGTGTTAGGTATTGGTATGAGATGAAGGACTGGTTGGATAAGTTGATAATCTATCAGAGGATTGAAGGGCCTTTAAATAGAATGAAGGAAGTCCAACAGTATGCGGAGGAGATAGTGTTCCATGCTAGAAGGAGTAATAATAGTAGCACATATTCGGACATGATCTGTATCTTGTACGCTCAATCTCAGGAGGTATCTTTTGTAGATACGCCATATTCTACCCAGATAGTTGAGTCGATGCTGAGGTCGGCGGAAGCTAGGCAGATTCTTTATGAATATTTAGTACCGAGATATAAGTAGGCGGAGCGAAGCTTGGGGTTGTTGAAATATAATATACGGAATTGAATTCGCTTTGACATCTTTGCGGTTCGATCCGGGGTCATTTGATGGTTGTACCTGAGTAATTGTTCTGGTCAGAGATCGGCCTTATTTTGTGACTAGGATGTTGAATCCATTCTATTTGAGGTATTATGATGCACAGCAGAGAGGTAAGAGGTGTCGGGTCGCCGGATGGGGATCGCGGAATTTTAGCTCATAGAATCTTCAGCGTGCGCTCGTTGCTGTATCCTACACTTTTCTCGCACATCTACTGTTGATTATAGCTAACCAGGGGAAGGATACTCCCCTGCTTTCGTCGGTGGTATCTTTCTGTGCATGGAAACACTGGGAGGTGCTTTGAATGGTATTGGTAGGCTATCTCGAGTTTATCGATTGGCCCGGGGAATTCCGAGCGGCTAACCCTGTGGGTGAGGGGAGGAAGAAGAGGGTTGCCATCGAGTTTGATGCCTCCAGAAAAGGTCGGCGGAAGCATCTTGTGGTAAGTGGCGTTGCGATGATGTTCTAGAGATGAGTAGTGGTTGTTGTTATTCAGGAAGCCCGTGTACTGGGAATAGTTAACGAGGCGGATCCTCGTTTTCTTACAGCAGAGGCATATGATAAATATGTCCGAACGGCGAGGGAGGGGGAGCATACTGCATTGGAGGCGACACAAGGGGAGGATGAATGAGGCATGCTCTTGGTGATGGTTTCTGTAACTGGTATGTTGTTGTGTTTTGCTTTGGCCGGCCTCAAGATATGCTTGCGTGATGTGTCTCCTATGCTGGGGACGATTGTGTTGTGGCTGCTTGAACGAGGCTCTTCTGATCCTGGGCTTGTCGTCTTATTTGGTATGTATCGTCACTGTAAGAGTAAATAATACTGATAAATGGCAACAACAAACAGTCCACAAATCATTCCTCCTACTGCTGCCGCTCCTGCATCCCCTTTTCCTACTGTCCAGGGAGTGGCATACACACCTAAGCGAGTGTAAACTCTCATTATCGATGGTGGTATCTCATTGTCTTATGTCCTCAGACTTGGTCTGCGCCTCGCGGATAACCGTCTGGCTTTCAGAGTGAGGCTCACTTTCTTCCTATCTATCGTCCCGATGATTTTCTGCATCGCTTTTGCCATCGCGGTGTGGTTCGTATCGGTGCCTGTGTATATCTGGTGAGTAGCAGAGGAGCAAAATGCGGCGGAGCGAAGTGAGTAATGATAGTCATTTTTCGTCGGTTTCAGGTATTACGTTCTGTTGATCATTACGGTAGTAGCTCCTACAGCCTTATACTATTCGTTTGCGAATAACAGCCCCTCGTTTATGGGTCTTTTCGCTTTCCTCAACGGTGCATTGGCGGTGTGCCAAATTCTCTCAGTCTGGCAGGTAATGGTTGGCTTGCTGACCTATTGTGTATCTTGCATAGTGAACCTTGAGATTCCCCTCAGGTGTTGAACTATGTTAACAGGTGTGAAACTTTTGTAGACGAATGCAAAGTATCTGGACTCAGGGTAGTTCCAGCCGTTGCAGATCCAACGTAAGATATTTCGTGGCGCGTGAAGGTAAAGTTGCTGGTCGTTAAGATATGCCTGTTCGTTCTACTCGGTGATGGAGTATTCGTCTTTTCAACACTGGGCGGATAATAAGGACTCAGCCCTCGCGATGTACCTCTCGTTCTTCATACCGGTCGTGGTACTTCATCTGGTAATTGTGAAAGGTGTGGTATGAGATTTCCACACACATATTACAGATGCTGTTGGCCTTGGGTCTGATGTGGTATTCGAAGTTGAGGAGGGGTCTCAGAATCTCTACTACTGGTCCAATCGGGGGTGTCGCTGCCACCGTAAGACTCGGCAAAGGTGTGGTACGATTATTGCACACTGTGTTTTAGGTTATTACTAGTGGGTATGTCGCTAGAGGTACTGAAGCTAATGACACGGACAAAGTTGCCGTTGGTGTACCCGTCTCGGCTCCGCAAGATAAAGAGGAGAACATTTAATCGAAGCTCGCCGATAACCGAGACTTCAAAGACTTACTGCCGGTTATTGAGAGCTCCGGCGAACTCCAGCACTTCTCTCTTTATTTTGAGGGCAGTTTTAGTGGCATTTGATCCTCGAATGACTGTTCTGTAGTCCTGGGAATAAAAATGAGTGATGATGCGGATGCATCGTGCCGTCAATCTTTCTGTAGTTCTTGCCACAGTCGATAATGCGCTCTTGATGCGCCCACTTGTACTGTTGGTGTAGTGTTTATTTGGTTGATGGAATTCCAAGGCGGCGCTCGTGATGATGGTATCAGGTCTCTGAAGGTCAATTCTGTGATGTGTTGTGTTCATTACTACGATCGATGCGAATTGGTTGAGACGCATCTTGAGAATAGGTAAGATGGTTGCAGGATGTCTTCATTTTTAGTACCTTTGAACAGCTGAGTAATATAATGCCTCCTGATACAAGAGAAGACATTGTATCGTCATCGCCTCCTTCAACGGTTGTAGGAGTACGATTCAACCCTCGTATTGTGTAAGTAAAGATCGACTCCTCAACACTGAATAGTCTTGTGGCGTGCGTGGAATTAACTCGATGAGGTGGAGGGTGATGGAGGTATTCCGTTAGATCGGCAGCATGGTTGAGTTTCTCGGGTGGCGTCAAATCTTAGGTTGACTGTAGTAGCTGATGGATATTGCAGGTTCGGTCTGCCGATCGCTAAACCTGAGTTGGCTCCGATAATTCGAACCATATTCCTCTTGGCTCTGGCCCCGATAGTCTTGGTAGCGATATTCGCGGCTGTGACTTTGACTTTGGGGACACCTGTATTCTTCTGGTAATAGGAACACGAATGGGCCTACTTTGTATCTTGCACTAGTGAACCTAAGATACCTCAGGCTTGGTCAGGTACTATGTCGTATTCGTTACTACCATTCTTGCTCCTGCCGCATTGTATTATGGTGTGCAATATAATAAGAGTGGTGCCTTGGAGCTCTATGCTGCCTGCAACGTGGCTCTGGCTATACTACAAGCTATAGGCATATGGCAGGTCATATTCAGTTGTGAACTGTAGGAAATGTGGTATCGAATTACTAGTGGCATAGCGGCCCCACATAGTCTGGTCAAAAAATGTTCAGGGAATATCTCAGCGAGGCGGCGCTCATTAGATCGGGAATTCTTAGCTGAACAGCTCTCCTCGGCTAATCAGGAAAACTGGCTTTGGAGAATTTTTCTGTCCGCATGTTAATTCACACGGTGATCCTGCGCTATTTCCTGTGCGATTCTCTCCAAGCCAGGCGATTGTCCAGTTGGTTAGGTCATCACTGAACTTAGAATGAGATCAGCTATTGAGTGGCGTATCGCTCTTCTCCAAAGTCGGACTTTTCAATTTTTACTGAACTTGGAGTGCGTCAACCCTGCCCGATGTATAGGACAACGGAACGAACGAAAACGACGGAGCTAACGCATCACATTTGTATATTTTGACCGGACTGAATATTCTCGTCTTGTTGTTAGATAGTCAGCTTCATCAATCGCAATGAGCTCTTCCTCGACCAGTGTACTATCAAGGGCAGCACTGTTGTGCCGACAGTTCCTAATCCTGTGTAAAATCTGATAATAGTTGAGATCGCTCGCGTGATATATTTGGTCCTCATTTAGGTTCGACTGTCAGAGCTATCATTCGTATGATTACTGGAAGGCAAGCGACAATGTGGCGAATGAAGATAGAACTTTAGTCATTTACAGCGTTTTGATGGGCCTGGCCATCATAATACACTTGGTAATGCTCGAGAGAGGGGGACTCTACTCCCAGACGGATGACGATTTAACGACGTGGAAATTCACAACAATTTTTTATGACGTTGGAAGTTATTTTCCAACGAGTGGGTACGCAGGTGGTAGAGTGTGTGAAGGAAGCATCCACGTAGAAGTTGTAGCGTACAGGATAACTCGGGTTTCCTCGAATGTGAATGAATTTGAAGTTAGTTCATCGGTTCAGGTACTAACGGCACTCTCTATCTTTTTATATAGGAAGTTGGCCGGTACCACCACGTTAGTGATCGCCCCGACCTTCGCCGAGGTAATAAGACTATCGTAGTGCTGCCTCCAAGCAGAGCTATCGTATCACAAGCATTTGTGGAATATCAAAGTGCTTTTCCCATCTTCTACAATCAGAACATGCGATCTCGAAAATTTCTGATATTGTTGTTGTGATTCGCAATGTTGGATGGAATGGAGGTTCCACGAGCTAGGAGGATATGCTCCAAACTTTCCTATTTAGGGTCAGATGCGCCCAACTGATGGGACCGTCGCGGAGGGCACGGAAGCAACCGATTCCTTGAAGGTCACCAGAGGTGTTCCAGTAAAACGATTGGAGTCTTCTGATGAAGTCGATCTAGAAGCAGGGGAAGGAAGTCTTCCTCCGATACCTTCGAATGGAGCCGATCAGCGGTATGCCACAGATAGTAACAGTCTCGCAGTCACTGCGTGAGGAACGTCAAGAAGTTGCGACATGATACTACTTCGCGCGGTTCAGCGCTGATGACATCTTCTTCTTTATTATCTCATCAATTCTCAAATGTAGTTCTATAAGGGCCTGTTTGGGCTGATGATATCGATCGTATACGACATAGCTACCCATCTGCCGAAGCTGTTCTTCCTATTGTATATAATAGTCAGTTCATGTGGAGGATGATCACCAATAGATCACCTCCCGGCATCAGTGTGCTGCTGATATTCAATCGGCGGAGCGAAGCTCTTCCCGCCGATTTGTTGCTTTTCAGCTCCTCGATGACTAATTCCTCCGTTCCTAACTCTACCGTTAACGTCGTTGTGATAAGATTGTTCGACATTTCTCTGAATGATATCCAAGGGGAGGTTGTGTTAATTACTCGCATAAGGAATAGGGGAAGAGCCACTCGGTGTATTTCCCCTTGCGCTGATGTTTATATTACCAGTTGCATCATTGGTCTAGTGGTAGAATACAACGTTGCCATCGTTGTGACCCGAGTTCGATTCTCGGATGATGCAGTTTCTTTACAAACTATTGTCTCATTGTGTCAATTGTCCCGGTATCACATTGCACCTCCATGGCTGAATACGTCCGTCCCTGGTAGGTGTGCTCTACAACGTCACTGCTTACATATCCGAGGGGCCATTGATGGATCCGATCAATTGGGAGAGGCTCTTCAGGATCGGCATTGATACGGTGAAGGGGAGATGCACCGGCGAGTCGTCGGCTTCATCTTCCTCACGTATCTTCCACCATCCATGAACCTCAGGTTCATCGCAATGTCGATGACCGATTTGTGAGTGAAGGGCGTCGGTTCGAACCAGGGGAGGAACATTTTTCTGGTCCCAACTTCTTGTCATCAATGAGCCGCTTTCTTCCATTGTTGCTTAATTGTAGATGCGCCTACTTCCCCCCTCCCCCCGTGCATAGTGCTAACCAATGTTTCTTCACCACGGAGAATAGTCGGCCTTCGAATGGTGACTTTTACCATAGGTGATTATCAGATTGATCGTCATAGAGGACGTTATTTGCCCTGCAGGTGTCCTCTTAGCCAATCGAGTGATAATGTCCTCTATTCTCGGCAGAGCTGGCAAAGTGGTTGAGACAGTCCCACCCTGACGAGATCGGGAGAGGGCTCTCGAAGGCTGCTGTGATGATACTGCTGGGCGAGCGAGATTTATAATGGTATACCTGTATTAAGGACAGAGGGAAGCACACTGATGTATTCGAGGAGAACTGTAGAGGAGGTGGAAGCGGTAGAGATACATTCGGAGTTATCGTCTTTGATGGCAATGCTGGAGTAGGTGGAGGACCATAATGACCCTGGTGGCTGTTGGTGTGCTAAGGTTTATGAATAGAAGTTTCGCGAAGATCCGATTGCAGTTTGGTAATACTATAGAGCATTTTGGGTAAGGACGTAGCCAATAGTGCCTATAACGCAGAAGGTAGGTTAGTCTCACATGCTCCCTTCTCATGGACATCTCACTCCATTGGGAGGGTTTTAACGGAAGGCGACTTGTTAATTTTGCTTACGTATGCTGGAATAGCATGCAAAATGGTGTCATCTACTATCGCACTCGATTGGATCTTCACTGCTCAATAGCTGCTGTCTATACTCTCGGCCGGGCAACCCTCACTCTAGCGCCTCTTCACGTCTATGGGAAGCAGGCTTCTGCTATGAGCACCATTGGCTGCACGAGGAATTCGCGGACGTTCGGGGAGGCGTGGTAGCGCTATTATGATCATGTCAATCATCCCTCGTTGAGGAGTAGCCGCCTTATCGCGATAATGGTGATGCTGATAATCCCCCCTATGGTGTTGTAGTGATTCTTAGAAGTCTATAAATCACTCTTAGGAGCTCCTGAGAGTTGCCGCTGTCGGCGACCTCTCGAGCTAGGATGATCACGTGGGCGACTTGATGAATAGAGGGTGATGTGGTAAGGTTGGAATGCCCACTGTGGTGCTTCAATACGGAAGGATGTCGTTTCATGAGCGTTTATAGTCGTAAGAACATTCTGGATCACTGCTGTTGCGTTGAGCATATACAATTAGAGATAGAGTAGGAGGGAACTTCCACTCTTGTGGCTTCAGAGGGACATGTGGAGCGCGACAGAGTAGGATTGTTATTTGAGTGGTGGTACTGGGATTGGAACCGGGGACCTTTGGGTCGACTGCACTCTGCATCGGTAGAACTTGTATTTCTCGTTATGAGGTCCGCACCTAAGCTTGGGGGGTACGCCCTCATCCAATTCCGGTAGGGAGAGGTGAAATTTGATTACGACGCAAACTCGTTGGTCCACAGGGAGTTCGGTAGAACGTCCAATGTGACCGCCAAAATTCAGAAGAGGCGGGAGGAGTTCATTAAAGAGAAGTTCCCGTATTTTCGTGGCGCAGTGACGGACGAGATGCCTAAACGGGGGAGGAAGTGATAACACACATGATGCTGTTTCCTATGGTTAGCGATGGGAGAAATAGCTGCTGAGGTCAGGTCCGGAGGCCACTTTGTGGACCCTTCTATGGAGCCTCTTAATCTGGATGGCAGCGATTCAGTGCATGACGGGTATGTTAAGAATAGGATGGATCAAATCGATGACGATTTCGTCGATCATTTGGTTAGAGAGGGAAAGACGGGAGGAGGTAGTAGTAGTAGTAGAATGGTGCATACTGCAAGTCTCTTTTTTTGAGATATGTTCCAAACCTTCGAAGCTCACCTTGCAGCAATAGCAGACTTTAAGGCTACTAAGGTTGCGGTGATAATAATGGGAGGGGGTGAAGTTGAGACATATTGAACTCTGGGGGGGTTTACTCGTAACGCGTTATAGGGTAATGGACATTAGTGATGGCTACTTAGTTGAGGAGGGTTAAGGGGTCGATGGTATACTGATGTAGTAGAATTGGACGATGGATGGTATTTAGGCTAGGACCCAACGAGGGGCCCATATTAAGAGAATAACACAAGTAGAGTACAACCCTTTGCATGGTGGAGATGGCAAGGCACGGTTGATGGAAGCTAGTGAGGTGGTATGGGGAGGGGCTTTTGTTGGCGAGATGGATGATGACGATGGGGCAGGAAAGTGGTATCGATCCTTCGTATCGGCGTAGAGATGATTATCACTCTTAAATGCTATGGGGAAATATGTAGATCTGAATATAGAAAAGAGTAGCTTGAATATGAAGTCGTCGGTCGAGTTTGATTATGTCAGCCTCCATCCTATGCTTTGGAAGGCGACAGGAAGCCGCTGTTGCCTGCTGAGCAACATGCTAGTCTCCAACCGAGGGGGAAGGCGGTCGATGGACGATTCATATCTGGGAAGCGATCGCGGGATAAGAAGGTTATGAGGGGTTTAAAGAAGGTGATCATTGGTCGGTTTAGGCGGACCCAAGGTTTGCCACTCCCGACCCGCGGGGTAGTAGTGTGAGTCGAATAGACGATCAGTGGATGGAGGAAGAGGAGGAGGGAGAAGTATTCAGGTAGTACTGGGGTGATGGCCGCTCGAGTCCCACCTGTCAGTTCCGAGGGAGAGGAGGAGTCATACTCGAGTGATGATGATGGGGAGGCGGTGTTGCTGGCCTCATCGAGGGAGGAGGAGTTCTCTGATGAGGATAGTGAGGAGGAGGAAGAGGAAGGGGATAGGTTTGAGAGGCCTTATGAAGAGAAAGGGGTAGTAGTTCTAGGAGTAGGGCGAGGCGTTACTGATGGCACGCCATGGTGGGGGGGGTAGGAGGTATTCCTTTACCGACTTATGTGATGATAAGTGTACATGATCTAGTATTCTACTGGAGTTTGAATTGTTAATGGCAGATAACCTCTTCTATCGCCATGACGCACAACTTTAAGGCACTCCGAGCGAACGATGGGGAGGCCTTCCCTGTGAAGTGAGTGCTGTCCCTAGTGGCTGATGTGAGATACGGCTCTCAGTGTCGATACCGAGAGTCCGTATGGTGGGAGGATGCGGGCGTCGGGATTAGGTCAAGTATGGAGAGAATTGAGTGAGCAGGTCGGTGTGTGATTGAGTACAGTCCAGGAGGTGCAGGTCCTGGTGTGCGGTTTGGGGAATATCTGGAGACGGCAGTTCCCCTTGCACATACGACCACTCTAGAGGAGTATAGGAGGGCTCGAATGGACGCTGTAGGGAAGAGGGCAGGAGGGGATGGGCGTGTATTGGTGACAGGTGGTGACAGACGAGTCGTATAAGCAGCTGTATTGGATCACAGGAGAAGACAGGTAGTAGTGTTGTTGGTCTGTCGTGCCGTGAGGTAGAGAGGTCATACCACACCTTGGACGATTCGTCAACGATGCCAATGGTAGTGTTGGTATCCCCTCAGGCAGATGGTGGCTGACCATTTCCTCACTATAGGGCTCCGTAACCTGACCCCTGGGGATGTCCAGTAGGCTTGTAGAGGTAGGAGGTAGTGGTGATTCTAGTGACAGGTTTGGGTGTATTATTGACACACGAGCGTTAGTCTTGGACCTCTGCCACGTCTATATGCATCCAGATGCGGTGGCGGTAAGGGGAGAGGATTAGCAGTCAATAGTTGTTGGTGTAGATACTCACTGAAGGTCACGCCCGTCCACAGCTGTATGACTACCTCTGTCAGTATGTACTGTACTCTCGGCAGTCCGGCCTAGATGTGAGGATACAACCCATCACCCTCCAGGCTGTGTTGTCGGTCCATGGGCCTAGAGGTAACAGTGATATACTCTACTGATGCATACCTTCTCCTCCTCATCATCATCAGCGTCGATAGCTCTGGCGGAGATGTTTGAGTCGATGCCGGAGGCTAGGCTCGAGACGCTTAATAAAGTTAACGACCCCGAGTCGGGGGACGGGTTGGAAGTCTCTCCTGCAGCGGTAGGAGCAGGAAGGAGGTTTTGGTCTCAAGGGCCTGGGCGAGCGCTACTTACGTTCCATCCACTTGGATCAGATAATACACCAGCCGTTCCAGTCAGCGATGGAGTTCCACACAAAGTCAGCTAGTGGGGTGATAATGAGGGGAGGCAGTATTGGTAGTGGCCTCGACGTCTTCACGCTACTCCTCGATGTTGATGCTGATGGTAATAAGGCTTTCTGCCCGTTGGCTTACTACAGTCTGTTTTCATATAAGGTGCGTCTCTATTGCGGTCCCTTTGTGGAGACTATGATGTGCTCCCTGCTGGCATCCTGGCGATCGATATGTTGCGTAATGAGGCTGGACTTCCGAGGTGGAGGAGGAGGAGATGTCGTCCTGTTGGAGATTGTCATGGATGCTTCCTAGGCCTGGAGTTGACGTCACACCCCTGACGAGCCCGATACGAGCCTCACTGGCATGGACCATTGACCAGTAAGGGCAGTACTGTGGGTAGTGGATGTCGGGCATGGACTGCATAGATACAAGTTGAGGCTGCATACGATGTTTGGATGGAAGCAACTGTTCGCTCAACTCGGCGGTGGTCCACGATTCGTTAGGACTGGGATCATACTGCAGTCGTAATTATTGTTGTTGGTCTCACCCTATGAGACCACATGCTAGAGAGCAGGTACGCCCATGCAGGGTGTCGCCTTTTGTCAACTCCTCATCGTCGTCCAGTGGGAGAGATCACTAGCTGCACGTGGAGCCCGGAGCTGAAGGCCCGGATCTGCCAGGCTTATATCAAACCGGAGTTCTCCAAGCCTGGTGAGCTCACACCGGAATGTACGTGCTGCTATTGTATGTGTCGGTAGGGCGGAACCTGCTGGCGTCTGTACCGTACAACCTGCCGGACGATATGAAGTACTCTAAAAAGAAGCGTTTGCTGTCCCAAGGGGTCTTCCGGGGGCAACATCGACGGCTCACAGCAGCACGAGTTTACGGCCTTCCCTTTGTGAGTGTCCTTCATCTTTGTTGGTCTTCGAGAGATTCCTCTCTTTAAGGTTGAGCATACATATCCTGGAGCAGAGGGAGTGAGAATAGTCGCCTTCAGCAAGCCCGACAGGGATGAACTCGTTCGGAAACCTCACAGAGTCAACGGGGTGGGTTGTGGATGTCCCCAGTGTGGAGCTTTTGTTTTGGCTGAGTTTTCCCAGAGGTTTACGTCCAAGTGAATGCACTGTCGATATGCTTTTCGATGGAATTCTGGGGGGTGTTGTCGTCGGAATTGCTCTATTGAAAAGAATGTTCACTGTACTCAGGCAGTGGCTTCTAAGATGGTGCGGCAACGAGACCGTCGGCGGAACCTCAGTCAAATGGGAAGGAAGCAAAAGCAGCAGCAGAATCCTCGTACATAGGCATGCCCTGAGCGCAGCGTTTCGGATCTGTTTCTGGAAGTCGCCAAGGTTTGAGTTTAACGAGGATGAGAGGTTCACCTTGGCTCGGCGGCGTTTGGTTTTTCATGACCATGTCGAGCGCTGAGAGAGTCAGGCCGAGCGGAGGATGGCCGACTCTATCGCAGGAGGATATCAGTGCTGATATCAAGTACATGGTACGGCAGTCGTATGGGGCTGATGGCGGCCTCGATGGAGCATCACCAAGCAGACATCGAAAGAACACGGTTGGTCGGGAGTAGTCACGTCTCGGTTTATTGTATCTCCACAGGGATTAGCACATGAGCTTGCGCGGGCTGATGCCACATCGTCGTTGTGGTCCTTGCTGATGGAAGCTGAGATGCTGAGGATGACGCTGTGAGTACTCTGGAGTAGAGGGGGGTGATAGTTGCTATTGTCAGGTTGAAGGTGTCACCATCGCCAATCGCCGACAGTGGAGCTCCGTTACTCTCGGATGCGGCACTTGCTGCCTTCACCGACGACGACCTGCCGGAGCTCATCCTGCCATCAACACTCTCACTCAGCACTGTGGAGGAGTACCTTGAGGTGTGCCGCGAGAATAAAAGTGAGGTGAATTATCTCCCATCGTGGTCGCTATATGGCCCATCAGGCCGGACGTATCCTATGAGGACCATCCCTGGCGAGGACCTACCCCTCGGCCTTGCTGATGTTGATGTTAAGCAGGACGCTAAGGACATGAACCGCGATATGATCACAGTGAGTAGTGGTCGAGCTGTTCCTCATTTCCCCATGGGTTTTCCTATTAGATCGATGGTGTCCTCTATGAAGGGGCGCATGCTGGGTACGATGGCATAGTCAGTGCGGTACAGTTTGCACTGCCGCAGCAGATGATGAATGCAGAGAGTGTGGCCCGAGTGATCGTAACGATTGCGAATCGAACACACTCAGGTGGGGCAAATGTCGGGGGGCTTTCGGTACTTACCTTGTTGGAATATATGTTTAGTTTTTCTTCAGCTGAGCTCGAGAATTCGCTCATTACATTATGAAAGTATATACACGACATGGGCGCAAAAACCAACATTAATTCTACGAAATGTTCTCGGAATTTGCTTATCGTCATAAACACACATAGTTGACCATGTGTATATTGTTGCCTGCTATCTTGTTGTGTGTTACAGGTGGTCTGTGTTTCGAGAAGGTCACTGAGGTATACCAGCAGCCTGATGTCGTGATAATAGGGCCCTGTGAGTCCAAATACGTTGGGGTTGGTCGAAGGAAGCATGTCAGGTTCCTCTGTAGCGGAGCCCTTAGATGTTGTGATAGCATCTGGGGACTCCTCGAGTACTTGGGCAATGGTCCGGGCTCACACTCAATATGCAGTGTATTCTGATGGCGACCACCGCGAGCTCCTCAGAGTCGATGCCGACTTCCTCTGTCGCCTCGCAGTTGATGTAGACTGTACGGGCGAGGGACACTTCGTAAGCCCTTACCATTTTCCCATCTTCAACGATGATCGTCTATCCCCAGGACCGTGCGAAGTCATTGGCTATCGTCAATTTGCGACACACCTTTCCTTCAGAGGCACCTCCCCTTGTTCAGGCAGAGGCAGAAAATCCATCATTTTGAAAAATTGTTTCTTGCTGCTTTTCTGGGGTTCAGTTTGTTAAATCGATTGTTTGTAGTCAAGGGCGGCATAAGGCGTCGAAAGTGTTTTACCGATAATATTGGCATAAATAGCGGCGCGTAAAGATATGCCTGTGTTACAAAATGCGGGGAGCAAGCAGACTTCGGTATCTCCTGGGTCGCCTCGAGATAAGACATTCCTCCCATCATCGGCCTCCGGGAGAGAACAGGTGATTGGGGATTGGCATTCAGTTCTCATTTAAGGCTTCTCATCCTAGTGCGGCTTAGGTACAAGGAGAATTAACGGTACCGAGTAGTGGCAAGGCACTGGAGGTAGGGTCGAGTAGCTCGGAGTCGGGTGCCGAGCATAGACTGCGGAATGATGGCTTGACCGTTGAGAGGTGGGGTCAGTGGCGGTGCCCCTTTGAACGATGACCTGCTGGCAGTTATGATATCCACATTGATTTGACTTCTGCCATTAATTCTGAATCGGAGTTGATTGGCAGATATCAAAATCGTGAGTTCGAAGGTGAGCTCTGTGATGGCATCCTTCGTATTTGTCAAATACTCAAATACTATTTGATTTATCAATATGTAGGCCAGTGCCGAATTATAACCCGCCATGCAGCTAGTTTATCAAATATCCGCTTGAACGCTGCAGAGCTCTCATTTGAAAAATCAGAGGTAGAAGGACAGGCGCCGTGGTATCTGTTTACCTGGTGATTGCCGGAATCAGGTTGTCTCGATCAGCGAGACGGCAAGTGTGAGTATAAATCACTCAATAGTCTTCCGGCCAGAATTGGAAGAGATTGAGCTCCAATTGTCCGAGCCGATACCAGCGGGTTGCCAATGCGAACTGCGATTCCGATACATGGGTCGGATAAATAGCAATTCTCGAGGCATCTATGAGTCCGAGTATGTCACTATTTCCGCGGCGGCATGTCTGAGTGTATGATCTTGCCGTGAAGGTATCTCCAACGCGATCCCACCAGTGACTCTTCCATTTTCACATTGCGGCGAGGTATGCTGGTGACCCAATGCTGTCCAGTTGATGCGAGGAGGATACTCCCTTGTGTCGATGAGCCAGATATGTAGCGTGTGGATTTGCATCATCACAGTTCTCTTATTGCTATCACAGGAAAGCTACGTTCACAGTCTCTTTGTCTGCTCCATCTGGTGTCACGGTAAGAAGCCTATGATGCAGCTCTACTTGATGATGAAGCATTGACTATTATCTATGGCCCATTGGAGATGTTCAGGTTCTGGGCAACATGCCGGTTCAGCGAACGGAGGCATTCAGCTACTCTATGATCTCGTTCCTCAGTGAAGATTCTGAGGATTCTATAGTTGGAGACATTGATACTGAGATTTCGGACAATAGAGAGACACCGTGCGAAGAGCGATCACCTGCTGAAGAAAGGCGGAGAAAGCGGCATTCTATGACAGACTGTGAATCAAGTGAAACTTCTTCCCACTGCGAGCAGAGATGTCTCGGCTCTCATTCAGGCACTGACCAGTTGAGCACGATGGCGGAATATGCTCTGTCAGAGTCTGATGACTCGGTGGACGGCATGCCTTCGACGAAACGACGTAAAGTTTTGAAAGAACTGTGTACAGGAGTGAGGACAACATTCGAGTAGGCAAGTGCTTCTTTCCAAGAGGGCACTGTATTCGAGGCTTTGATGGGAGTCCCATCATGGGACCGGTCCTATTAATTGCTGGTGCTGAACCATCGTTGGTCTCATTTTTCTCTTTTGGATGATACTGAAGCAAGGATCATAGTATGAAGTTCGATACTACAGTATCGAACTTCGTATTGTGATGGCTCGTGATCGCTGACTTTCGATAGTATAAAATATGCTGGCTACACACCCTCTAGGCGGTCGGCTACCGTCCATATTACAACATATCACTGATCATCAGTGACTGATTTGATGAAAGCTGAACTGCCATAACTAGATGCAGCCTAAAAATTCACTGTCAGAGTAGTAGCCAATAGTGATGGCCTACGATGTTAGTCTATGGAACCTCTTCAGGAGGGGCCCTTTTTCGAGGGCATACTCATGCATCTGCCTGGAAGACGCGGCTGCGTCTTTTGGCAATTGCAGATTGGGATATCCTGACTGGGGATTCTCCAGTATGTTGGGCTTAACAGCAGGATCGTTTTACACCAGAGATAAGATTGCTTCTATGGTTGAGCGCTCAGCGGCAAGTATTCAATAAGGTGATCTCCGGCCTCACACGGGAGCGTACTGTGCTTCTCTCTGGACTCACGATATGAGTGATGAACCATTCATTGTGAACTGGTTAGCCCGGCACGTTCTCGGCGGGACTTCGGTCTCGAACGCCCCGAGTCTGGAAGGTGGTGGATCGATTCGATCAGGGATAATAGTAGTTCAGAACTACCGAAGGAAAATGAAGACTTGGAGTTTCGGATCAACATTCAATGTTGAACATCGCTGGTTCTGTGGCCTACATATTAACTGAGGAGGGTTAGAACTAGCGAGTAGGTGACCAAGCCGCCGGTATCCTACGCTGGTGTTACGCCGCTAGGGTGGCAGTGCTGATGGTCACTATGCACACCGAGAGAGGCCGAACCCAGGGCTCCATGCTAAACGAGGCTAACCTCATATTCTGCTGCACACATCACTTGGAACAAGCACTCCCAATGTTGAGGAAGTATGGCTTTGTCATGAAATTTTTGCGACAAGGGTGAAGATGACGAGCAAAACTGAATTATTCTCCAAACGTGCATGATGAACTCAGAATAGACCATTCTTGCTGATAGGCGACCGCGAGTCATTGGCACAAAGCTCAGTCACTACTCTGAGAAAGTTCCAATCTAGCTGATACGGACCGTATCATACGGTACTTCTATCTGTGCAGTTGTCTGATGCTCCCCCTGTAGTGTTCGTCACTGCTGGCAAATATTATTCAGCATGCTGTCATGAGAAAGCTCCATCAATTAGAGATACTATTCAAAGCTGTGTTTGTCAAATCCTCCATTTGTTGCCTAGCCACCTTGAATGATATTCTCAGGCCAACTCCCAAGATGTCATCGTATCTTCTAGCATTTGCTGTCGGTGACTTCGTTCAGCTATCCGGCAAAGGCGAGCTTCCCTGTTTCGCTCTCAGGACTATACTCTCCCCGCAGATACCCCGGGAAGAGACGCTCGAGTCTCCATATGGTGTCGGAGATCCCAGGCTTCTAAGGTAGAGTCCTAATCCTCTGTCGGACCGGACTGAGCCTTCCTTAGGGTAACTTCGCTCTTGAGATCGCATCGAAGTGTCTGGTGTATTATGAGTCGGAGCTCTTCAACACGAAGTATCCTCTACCCAAGTGGGCTTCTCCGGTCCAGACTTATTCGTTTCACGGATAGTACAGGTGCGATTTGTTAGCCGTTACAGATCACCATTTCGGGGCTATGGAGAACTGGGGACTCATTACCTTCCGTGAGCAGGATCTTCTGTTGAACGAAGCAAGGGCCCGATGGACAATATTGCCTCGGTTGGATGCTCTTGTTGCATTCAGGAATCGGGCTCAGCTGAGGCCGTCTACCGTATCACTGTCACTGTCTGTCATGAACTTGCCCATATGTGGTTTGGCAACATCGTCACCATCAAATGGTGGAATGACATTTGGCTCAATGAGGTGATTCTCAGCATTCTCTCTATTCATAGCATTACCTACTCAGGGCTTCGCGACATGGACTTCATACGCTGCTGCCAACTACATGTAAATACCGATTGAGAGCCCTTCTAAACGGCCTCTTCTCTCAGTTTCCCGGGTTCCAGTCTCTGGGCAGCATTTCAGACCTCTATGGTTGACAGAGCAATGCAACTTGATTGCCTCGAGAGCTCCCATCCCATACAGGTGCACCTTCCCCATTCTTTGGGCTTTCACTCTCTCCGCTTGACAGGTCACCTGTTTGGATGGACGCGAGGCCTTTGATAATTTCGACGCTATCTCGTAATATATATCATTTCCAAGGCGAATCATGGATCGGCACTTGTTGGCAGGTATAACAAATCTGCAGCTGTTATCCATATGCTCACTACGCATATTGGAATGGCACGGTTTAAAGACAGGATTCACACTTATCTCGATCGCCACAAGTAATGAGAGTAACCGCACTGACTGCTCTTTCAACTGTCGTTTGAGGTACTCCTCGACGCGTACTTCCGACCTGTGGTCATGTCTTGGTGACGAAGCAGTTTTGCTGATGATGAAGACTTGGACGACTCAGAAAGGGTGGCTGTGTTGTTCCTTGTATTCCACTCGAAGTCTTATCTTCCTAGTTACCCATACCTCCTTGCTAACATGGTGGATGAAAACACAGTTTCAATACGCCAAGTCGCCGTGGGAGGTATGGATACAGAAAGAAGGCAGTGGATTGTAGGTTCTCCGTGTTGAGTTCATTGACCATCGCTCGAGAAGTGCTGTTAGGTACCATTACGGTATCGTATCATAGTGAACGGAAATTATACTATTCACAGTAGCATTCCACATTCCAATGTGATGATTGCTATCGCAGGTACCACGTTGATGCCCAATTCTGAGCTCAGAATAAAACTCTCCGCGAGTGAGACACTCCATCTCAATCCGGATACTACTGGCTTTTACTCGGTAAGGGGTCTCACCGTGAGGTTACTGCCACTAGTCATTATTATAAACCTACAACGTAGGTTGTTTATTCACCGTCACTCCTGCATCGTATAACCTCTCTCGATGCGGCGATGCTGAGTCCGCTGGACCTCATTGGTCTCATTAGAGACTCTACGATGGCGATGACTGATGGTCGCTTACCGCCCAAGGAATGGTGAGGGGAAGGTTCGGGGACGCAGAGTGCAATAGCTTGAAATCAGGTATAAACTTCTCCTGAAGTTTTTCGCCACGGGTGAAATCGACGAGACTGTCGGCATTCAACTCGGAAGTGATCATCAGTCCTCCTATTGTTATTTTCTCTCCGTCTAATGCAGATACACTCAGCCACATATTCCCAATACTTCCACGTTCTTGTGAAGTTCCGAGATCACGATTTCGAGAGGCTTACGGGAAATTGTGTATGGGGTCCTCGTGTCGCATCCTTGATGTTGGCTCTGTCCTCTGCAGGTCGTATACTGGTAGGCCGTTTTTGCACAACATCCATGGGCTCTCCCACATCACCCCAGCCCTCAAGTCTGGACAGCTTCTCGTCACACGTTACGGACAGTATTGCAGGACGTGTGAGGACCCTGTTGGATACTCCTACGGCATATCATCGATGATCAGGGTCTGAGGGTTGGCTCACTGCGTATCATGCTGGACTGTCAAGATCCCGCAACAATTGAGGCATGCTCTAAGCTTTTCGAACAAGGGGGATATTCTCTCCCGGACTCGGTATAGAATTCTCAAGCTCATCTCTATGAGGGATGTTTGATATCCTCAGGTGCCTGAGGATATCCACGGCTGGGTCTACGCGGGTGCCGTAGCATGTCCTAAGAAGGGGATTGCTCGAGCCAGACTACTCTTGGAACACTATGAGAGTCGACATCCTGCTAGCATTGATCGTCAGCAAAAGACTTTGGCCATAATCGGTGAAGTCGCTGATGCTGATGTAACCTAATTGCTTGGATAATTGCCGCCTAGTACGTAGTGTTTTGTCATGATTCCATACTGCTAGATACAGCGCGAAATACTCTCACTACTACTGCCGAAGAGAGTGGTGAGTAGCTGCGTTGGGGGGTTTGGTGGATGCGCCTTATTTCAGGTCCGGCCACAAGATTGGCGGTGTGTCGTGGAAAGCTGTACACATAATCGTTCAATAGGACTCGATGTGGTTTGGGAATGGTTGACTACTTGGTGGAAGCAGATACAGGAACGCTTTCGCAGTTCGGGGGCTATGGGCATCGGTGAGCTCGTGAATGACCTAGATTCGATTCTCGGCATTTCGAAGTAGGTAGCAAGCTTCTTGTTCTAGTGTGCGAGAACATGAGCACGAAGGAAGACCTTTCTCGTGTTACGAAGTTCCTGAGAGAAAATCCAGATCCGCGGATGGCTCGGACTTCGAGTCAATTGATCGATCGAATAAAGCGCAACATTTCTGTGAGGACACTTCTCGAAGACTCTGTTGTTGACCTTGAAAGGCTGATTAGTGATTAATATTCTCGAAAGATGATTACACTATTTTTGATGGTCTCATTGTGCGTATTCTGTGTATTCTGAATATGATTGATGTTGCGATCAGTGAGGGAGTGGGGCTTTCAATGGAGCAAAGTGCTCGTGGTCATCGATAAGTGAATCAAGTCCTTCTGAATTTTTGAACCCGAAGGCCAAGTTGATTATCGGGGTATATGACCGGGGAAAAGAAGAACACTATTGTTATTATGCCGCAACTGCAGTTGTAGTGATGTACCTACCTCAACTTCGAGATGAGGCGATTCTGTAAGCTAGGTGCGATTTTATGAACATTTGGACTTCGATGTGATTTTCGAACTTGATGAAGTTCGCATGATGCGCACGCATGAAACTTGATCTGTGTCGTGAGACAATCACTGGTTGTACTCCTATTGTGCAGAGAGCTCGCTTTTCGGGTGCGTGAATGTCACCTTGTGAAGGTGTAAGGGTTTGAACAATCTGGCGTGCCCAGGGCTACAAGAGCAGTTGAGAAGGCACGCAGAATGAGTGGTTGAAACAGTACACTGTACACCGTTTACCCTATAAGAGTAACGGATAACATCGATGACCTTCTCGAAAGACACTGATAACATGCCCCTCACTATACAAGATAACGCAACATTGAATAATAGATTGCCTTGTTTCATGTAAGAAAGCAGTTTCATGGAGGCATGGGTGGGCAGATCTTTCAATCGCTGGTCTTCATCTTTTCAGCTGTTTTACCAATTATCTGCCGGGACAGACACATATGACGACTTGAGAAACCTGACCTGCGGATGAATTCCAACTTACGCACCAACGGGCTGCCCTGGTCTCCTGCTTGTAGGCTCGTCACCTCAACCTCCTTCTCCAAGTCGGTATTATAACTGTAGTAATGGGACCTCGTCGCCAAGCAGAGTAAGAGTTGCACTCACGTATCCCAACTGATGAGCACAACAGCGGCGAACACTAATGCTGAGCCCAGCATGTATACACTCTTGAAACTGTGGAGAGCGAGAATCGTACCTGAGATGTATGAGGAGAATAAATGAGCATTCCTAGTGAATAGCTCACTGTCGACAATCAAAGATAGAGGGATTGTCAAAGAGAGGCCAACAGCTGCTGATAGAGGAGAAAGTAGGATAACCTAACGACAACAAATAGGCTACCTTTCAGTGATGACACGAACGAGGCGCTCACCGCCACTGAGAGCAGATAGTCTGATGCAACACTGCCAAGGGCTCCATTGACAGTGATAGCGCCGAATTGTCTCCAGGTGGGCAGGACCTGGGGTGGAAGACCAAACTCGTCAACGATGCAGGAATGAAGACTCACCACAGTCTCTAGGCCTGTGATATGGCACAGCACTAGCAAAGGCATCTGAGAGGATAGGTACGCTGGGCGTCACCCTGAGGACCTTCCGACTCCCAGAACGAAGGCAACAACCCCGAACATACCGAAGGCATAAGCTACCATATGCTCGTCGGGCACCTAACATGGAGTAACGACTTATAACTCAGTATTGGAACTCAGCTTGTGGACACACCCAGAGTTTGAGGCAGCACGTGAAGATACCATAACAACAGGCTGATGCCAGTGCTAGGGTGTCGCCAAGGATGGTCTCATGGACCTGTTCGGGTGATGGCGCTTTCAGCAAGTGTGATCATACCGCGAAGTCCGTCTTGGGTGAGGGCTGATTGAGGGTTGTGATGAGGACTCCAAACACACACAAAAGGACTGAGAGGATGGGAACGGCTCGGCAGAGGGGATAGTCTAAGAGTAGCTGACAGGCAAATGGTTCGTGATGGTCGCTCGCCGGTTTACTATGGAAAAGATAAAAGTGAAGACACTAGAACAGCTGGAAAGGGAACTGTTGGTAGCCACTGAGGTGTACCTAGGGGGAAGTAACAGTGAGAAAACACTTTTGTCTACTTAAGGGATATGTTGTACGTCAACTGCGAGACGAACCATATGGCACCTGAGAAGACCTAAGAGTAGCTCACATAGATGGGCAAGCTGACGTTACGGACTGTTACGACTGATGTTTACGCGTACGGAGGTAAACCCATAACGTAGATTACGGAGCGGCACGTAAACACCTTTTACGACAGAAAGCATGGCAAACTCAGCAACCTAACATTGCGCATCTGTTGGTCATGGGCTACCAGCTCATGATCAACGGATGCGCAACAAAGTGGCCAGAAAGCTTGCTCGGTGTTGACCTACCCAATGCCCACACCTGCCACCTCTTCGGCCAACCTTGCTCTGTTGCTTCCAACGTCGCATGGTCCGAGTTAACTATCGGAGTCGCCTCTGGCGAACCCTGCCTAGCAGGCGTATAGATGTACTTGCGACAAGCCAAGAGCAGTATTGAGAGGGTGAGGGAGTAGACCTATCATGGGGAGTCGAGATACACTGGCAAGCGGCAATACGCACTGTGAGGGCCACAGGCTTGTCGTAACCACCACTTGTGAAGATGAGCTGAATGACCGCACTTGATGCTACATAGAGGACCACGACCAAGGCCAGCACCTAAAAGGTAGTATCATCAAGATGTCCGCTCGAGTGAGCACTACGGCCAGGCCTGATAGCGTTCTCTTGGTAGAGGTCATACTCGGCCAATGCTGATGAAAACGCTTCGCTCCGCTAACCCGATTAACAGACATTCCGACTCAAAACCCACTTATGGTGACAACATCACTAGACAATAATCAACGTTGCACATGCCCTTCGCATGAGGCCCTTCCTGAGCTGGGAGCCACTTGTTCAGACATCACCACACGGCACACTCATCTTGGGGCCGGTCTTGGCAATCTGAACACGCAGTCATCCCCTCTATGAAGCCCCATCCGCCTTACTCGACCTAAGACCCTCGAACTAGGCTGACTCGAGCATTGTGGACCTGACCATTGAAACGCATGAACACGTGTCAACAGGAGAGGAGCTAACCTTGCAGGGGGGCAGATCGCCACTCCGCCTCTCCTGGTCGATCACAGCAGGCCTCAAACCCATGAGACTGCATGAGTAATGATTTAATCCGACTATCGGAATGCCCCTCCCCCACCTCTCCGCTGAATGATGATCGGTTACCCTCCCCAGATACTGCAGCACCGCTCCGCTGACTCAGTGCGATCGACGCCAGCTTGCCTAGTTAACGGCGATGGTAGGCCGGGCGGCCCTCCAAAGGTATCCTACTGACAGCAGACACCCCGTCACTCCTCGCCATCGCTTGCTTCTTCAAAGCGTCGCGTCGTATGATATCAAAACTACTGTAGACCTCTAGCGGAGCGAAGTCCTTTACGTAAACCTGTCGCAATCACCATAGCAGAGGATTTGGTATTCCAAACTTACTGGAGATGGTTGCAGCGAGTCAAAGAGTCTCTTACCATTACGCAGTGCACCATGCTCGATGATCTCGGTCGTCCATCTCGTCACTGTTCGACTCCTACCTCTAAGAAGGCTCTTCACACTGGCGGCTCGAGAGCTCACGCAGGAGTACTCAGGGAAGAGGGGCTCGGTGGACTTCGGCTTCACGTCTCCTATTAGGGGCGGATCCCTGCGGGCTGGCCGCAGCGCCTGAGGTGGCCGCTCCGGTACAGATTCAGTGATCTTGAAGGTGGCCTCTGTCACCCTGGACTTGATCGATCGACCTCTATCTTGCGTATCTGCAGAGATGGAGAGCGAGATTCTCTTAGAAAGGCGTCGAGTGAAGAAATGACCTATGTAGGATTCGAACCTGCGACCTGCGGGTCAACCAAACGACCATCATACCAGTTGACAACGAAGGAACGGTCAGCAAAGCCCTTACTGCTCGATGAGACCCCCCTCGGTCTTCCCGTATAGTTTCCACCCAAAGTCCACCACGGCTCATCGTGGTCCGAGAACCTATGAAAGACCAAACCCTCGAGACCACTGAATGGTGCCTGCCCTTCCCATCCAGCCTCTCACGCTGGTATCCTTGGCTTTTCCTGTCGGCAAGAGGCCAAGTTGAGCTCGATCCTCTCTCTACGACGCTGTAGATCCAAGCCAGTCTTCGTCTTCGCCTCTCCCACATCCTTCCGATACTCGTAAGCCTAACAAGGCACGCTCCAATGCAATGAGCTACGCCATGGTGGACCCACTGCGGCCTCCTTCGCAGTCTGTCTAACACTCAAAGGGACGAACTCGGCCTCTCCTGAGGGCCGATCGATCGACTATGGAGCTCCACACAGCACTAACCTCTATTCCTGCACTCGTCGAGATCTCGTTTCAACCCTTCCCGACGTACCTCCATCAGCTGTGACCGAGTACGTACCGCTGGTTCGTCGACCCACTGCAGGCCTGACAAGGCAGCAGTTGGGTCTACGGAAGACTCGCCAACTCACTTAAAGTCTTGGACTCCCTCTCAGGATTCACAGCTGTATTCACTGGCATGAGACCAGCGCAGACCCTCGAGGCTTGATGGTCAGCTGTGGCCCTTTGCCCAATGTGTGTTATTCTGATAGAAAAAGCGTCAAATGGCGTCGTCGAGGTCATCATTCACTTCGGTTGAGCAATATGATTATCACTGGAGGGCGCTCCTTCCGGTATCCTCATGGGATGATCCTTTTCCCATTGGTTGAACCTTAGAAGGGAACACGACTTGAAGTGATAGGGAGCATGAATACTCTACTTACAGCTTGGAAGCGGTATTTTTCATCTCAGTCCTCCGCGCCAATTCCAAATCGGTTCTCGTCCGAACAGAAGGAGGGTCTTTCTCGTCCAACAGGTGAGCTGAATTCCTGCTAGTTTAGAAAATGACCGCGCGCCACGAAATTATCACTGCTACGTCTTGTCGAGCTCAAAGCAATTGCCTTGCGTTACAATTTTCCCCCTCCGCTGCTGCACGGCGAAGGGCCTCTTAGAACCCGCCTGGTCGTGGCCAAACGAGAACCTACACAGCACGCCCCGATCTCTGACCGCGCGCCACGAAATTATCAACAGTGCCTATCTAGCCATCCCTTAGACAGCGCCTCCATACACTTCTCCCTCTCCCTCGTATTCAGCCTCCCATCTCGGTCCTCATCGAAGTGCTTGGCTACAAGATAGTCTCGATTGCCGACAACACCATCACCATCCACCACATCGAATGATATGTCTGGTATCAAACTCGCTCGCCTCTGACGCAACCTAAATGCGGACCTACTTCGTATCTTACGCGCGCGAACCTTAGATTCCACCGGTGCCAACCTCACATTTCAGAGCGTGTGCGGTACTTCGGTATCCTTTCCCACTCCTCTACAGGAGCCACGCTATCATAAGCGCCCAATGGCTCAGTCCCGGATCTAATGGTGAGGCAGGTCTTGCTCTCTCTCACTAAACCTAGGGGCATCTACTTATGATGACCATTAGTGTCATAATGCGGCCCTCTGCCCGAAGCTAAGGCATCATCTCCTTCAATGGAATTGCCATCACGACTTCGTAAGGTTCGGTCGACACTGAGTCACGCGCCACGAAATTACGTCGGTCAACTTCCCAAGAGAACCCATCATCCCACCTCCCCTCATCCATACTAGCCGCCTCACTCGTGGGCATTCGAATCTGTGGTAACTCAATCGCCCTGAAGGGCGCCAGTAATAGAGATACTCCTCCAGGTGCATTACAACGCAAAACACTTAGTACTGAGAAGGGTGAATATTTGATATGCAATTTATCATCGTTATGATGACGACATTAACAACTACACGATTGACCTGAACAGGGAAGAGAATGATGGCCAGAGTCGATCACCCCGTGGATACTTTTGGTGGCTGTATTGTTCATCCCATCACCACTAGTGACTCTGATAGTATCCGACCCTTGGGAGCCGGCCGATGCTGAATTCTCTCCAGGAATTGATTTAGCAATCTGAAGACAATAAAGTGCAAAGTGCCGGGATCGAACCTGGGACCTCTCGCAACCCACCTCTGTGAAGATTTGCTCAATGTCCACGCCGCTTTTAGCACTTGTCTCGAAGTACCTCACACCAAGTTCTCCAGCCAATGCTCTAGCTTCTTCACCGGATACCTATCAAAACAAGCCTCAAATAACAGCGGAGCGAAGCACAGTCCCGACCTGCCGAGAATCTGCCATATCTGCCTTATTGCCAACCAACACTATTTTAACTCCACTTCCTGTACCTACGCTCAGCTGGTAACAGCTGACCACCGACCAACAACAGTAACGAATCGATTGACACTCCAAGTCGTGTGAACACTCACTGATTTACGACCTATGCATCTTGACAACTGCTCAACCTCAGAGAGGATTGAACTGAAGGAATCTAATTAATACAACCGAAGCAAGCATTGGGGTCGACGGTTTCGGATACTCATGCTGTCATCTTGGCGAACGATAATGACATATACAATATGCGAGCATATACAACACTGTGAACAATGACTACTTGAAGAGTTATTAATCTTTCCTCTGCCGCCCCCATCACTACCCTTCTCATCCTCTACTTGTGACATCCAGCTTCTAACCGAGTTGAAAGATTCTTCTGAGGTCAGATCGAAGACCACAACACATGCCGCAGTATCTCTCAGATAACTGACCATGAATAGATATTTCCGGAAAATCTTCGCAGTGCGCAACAACAAATGGAAGGTACTACGCTGGTATCAAAGACCTGAACCTCTCCTGCCCGGCTGTATCCCACAGCTGCAATTTCACCGACCGTCCATCGTCAAGAGTTAACACTTTTGCCACAAAATCGATACCTTAGGACAGCATCAAGCCGGGATTCTTTCATGTGCTTCGCTCCGCTATGATTACCGATAGTAGCCTGATAATGCGTATCAAATGCTCCATACAGGAAGCGTGTGATGATACTCGTCTTGCCAACACTCTGGTCACCAAGGAATATGACTTTATAGGAACTTACTGATCGCTGATCACTCTCCTGTTCCGATGACCGACTCGACGACATTAAAATAACAGATCGAAAAATGCAATTACAATAACAACGACAAGCACCTCCAAAGTCGACCCTGTCGTGAAATCAACACCACTACCCCAATACGTAAACTCTCTCTATTGTACAACGGTCAGTTCCCCTCAGCCACTTCTGTCGGCTGTGGAGGCTTTTGTCCACGTCTGCTTCGCTTCGCCTCCCTCCTCTTGGCACCTTCCTCATTTTCCTGCCGCTCCCCTGCAGCCCAACCCTTCTCTTTACGACGCTCAGCGAAGTCCCGCCACGACTCACCAGCTGAGCCAACAACAAAATCACACAAATAGTGACACACAATGGTCGTGAAATATCAAAGTAGTCCCAATAAAGCACCCGAAAGTAACTCGATAAACAATCTAATATCCCTTCTGGGTTATACGCAGCCCAGTACTACCCTTAGCCGGTGGTCGATGGTCGCTCTTCCTCCTGTTCACTCCGCCATCACCATTCTCACCACCAGGAGCTGCCCATCGCTCCGCCTGTCTAGCTTGGGTGTCCATCATACCTGCCGTGATATTATTGCTATTAATACCCTCGCTCGGGATCGAACCGGGGACCTTTGCCATTAACTCACGTTGCAACTTCTGTTGATGTTGACGGTCCCTATCGAAAGCTACTCCTTCCTCGTGATTCCGCGTGTCTACCCAAGCAGGCATCACCCCACCACCACCGAGCCAATCGACTTATACCGTACTTATCCCAAAAGCCTTCGCTGCTCTCTCTGCCTGGCGCTCCTGCATTTGTAGATACCTACCCATTGATGACATCAGCATGAGGAGGAGCAATTAGGACCGCCGCCATACTCATGAGTGGAAGCCAATTGATCAGCCTCAAGTTCACCACCATGTGCCTCTGCATCAGCCCTCCGGTCATCAAGCTCCTTATATCTAAGTTGTCGTCTATTCAGGATTCGCGATAGTCGATCGCTTTACTACAGCTTCTGCCTTTCCTTATCAACCTTTTTCTGGACTATGCCTTCCTCCTCCCCCGACTCCAACAGAGTATCTTCAAGGTCAATCAATTTAACCTCTATCTCTCTCTTCTGATTGTGATAACTGCCAAAGATATCAATATAAGATGCTCTTCACAATTAACGGGGGGGGACAACAGTCGCGCATTATGAAGATTCTCAGCCACTATCTCCACTCTACTGTGTTCCTCCTATCGTGTTGAAGATCCCACTTACATCAGCTCCGGATCAGCCTTCTTGGGTTTGGGAGGAGCAGCTGCCTCAGCTTCCCTGAATGGTTTGATATCAGTCCTTTGCGGCCGGAGGTAGGATTTGTTACGTTGGACCTAATTGTCATCATGCCTCACGCTCCGCCGATCTTCCATCATTACATAGCCGCTGGTGCCACTCCCTCGAGCGGTCTGTAGACCAATGCCGTTGTACATTGAAAGCGGTAACGGCGCAACTTGGAAAACCTTGGATTTTGGCACTTCTGACCGTCGACATTATCGATTAGCAAGGCGCGCGCAAGTGTCGATAAGGATCCTACTTAGAGATGCTACTGGGACGTTCAATGAACGTATTTGATTGGCATTCCCATATGGGGAATAGAACATGGGAGAGTGTCGAGCATGATAGTCGACTAGGTACTAACGGCATCCTAAGTACTTCTAGGAGAGCGAGTTCTGGTGCGCCACAGAGGATGCTGTAACTATGGTGGCCACCAGGCTCACCTATAGGGGCGCCTTCGGATGTTAATTTGGAAAACTGATTGCCGATTACGATAAGAAGATACGGTTCGTCATAGCCGCAGGGTGCATGCTCAGCAATCGGAGCCGATTATGTAAGTAAACAAGATTCCATCTTCTCTCATGTGAAGGAAAAATCAATCCTGAGTTCAGTCGCACACAACAGCTGGCCCTATCGGATCCGTCTTGTTCACAATCCCTCTGTTTTTGCAACGAGATCACTACCCAGTTTTACTTAAGAGAATTTTTAAGCTTTTAAATATGAATGTTGACTTCCTATTCAATATCGAACATCATCATCAACGTAAGCATGATGGAACTTACATATTCATGTCGTTAGCAGACATGATTGGGAGCCATGGATAATAATAGCTGGTCTGATGGACTTCACATGTAGATGTTGATCGTGTGTTCTAGGCGGGTATGGCAGGTGGTATTACTTCCCTTTTTGACTTATTCGTGAATCATTTTCCTGGAAGGGAAATTCCTTCTCTGACTCTTATACATATCCTGAGTAGATTATGCGACACAAGTCAGTGTACAACAATTTGTAAACTTGCGTCCCCACGCCGCACTATACGGTACATGTGTGCACACCATGGGACTCCCATGATGGGAGGACGACGACATGTGAGTACGTGTAAATGTTCTTCGGTTAAGAAAATGTAAATACATATATTTCGAGGCTTACAATTAACACCCATTACCAAATCTTATCAGGGTAGTTATACACTAATTATAGCTCTCGAAAACCTCATGGACTGTGTTATATTCTCTTTATATTCCCGAACAACTGCCATCTGGGCTTAGGACTGGCTTCATCTAGATCGAGTTATCGTATCGTACGATGTTTCGCAGAACTGTCCTTAATAGTACCGTTCAGCAACCACGTATATACCTGTAATCCCTCTTCTAAATCAACGCTGTCCCAACTTGAGACCTTTCACCTGAGCATCATTTGCGAACCTCTTCATCATTAATCAGCAAAGCAAGATCTGAGCGCGATGTTGATAAATCATCAACATCGTGCTCAAATCATGTTCGGCCACAGGCTGTGGCCCACAGCTGAACTCCTAGCTCCGAGCTAACAATACGCAGAGGTCCATCACTGGTTGGGCTACGATCTGAACATAAAGTTAGCATAAGAAAGCTCCCAGTCTTCGATGTGTGCAGCAGCAGCAGCAGCAGCGAGTTGTTATCAGCAACACAGTGTCTCGAAGGCGTCAAGCGCGCGCCCAGCTCACGGCATAATGTAGTCTTTGATGGCAACTCATACAAATCACAGACCGTCCCAAAGGTAACTAGGGACTTGGCACGTTCGTACTTATTACGGAGATACTATTGCTAGTGCGAAGATTGCCATTCTTTTATTGTAAAAGTTTTAAAATCCACAGGCCACAAGCAATTCAGGCGCTGGCACGCGGGCAACCTCATGGAGAGCTTCAGGCATGCCATGATTCATGTCTCGTAGATGAAAAACAGCAGGCAGTCGGCTTCACCTTGAGACAATATGCTGCCCAAGTAATCCACATTCTACATGCCAGTCAGATATAAAGGCTTTGTTGCAAAGCCCTGGCGCTGCGCCAATGCGCAGAAGTTCTGCGGCAGAACAGAAGTGTAATCATCTGGTTAAAGACGTAGTTTATTACTCGGTTGCACCCTATGGTTTTCGGTCCCCTACTTAGGTCACGTGATGTGATATGTATTACGAATATCCTCATCGACCAGCCGTTCCCTTGTGACGGAAGGATGGCACTCCTATCGTCGGAGGATCTGTGGCGCCGTCGATGAGTTCACCTATTCTGATATCACCCGTGTAGATGGGGTTCCGACCTCCTAAGCCCTCCTATCCATAGTCAGTGATTCATGTGGAACGTAATTGTCATAAATCCTGTCGTCTTCTCCTTCGAGGCTACTTTATTATATCGCGGCTGTTCGGTTCCCTATACGTATGCCGTGTTAAAGCTTTGGAAGCGACGTTTTCTCCCTTGGTCGACAATGTTGTCAGAGGCTTGGAGCTGGAACATGAATGATGATGGTAAGCTCCCCTCTCTCGCGAGCGTTGCGTTCAGCTAGCCCAAATGTATCAACGCAATGAGCCACTTGGCCAGGAGAAACAACAATAGTTTCATATTGATACAAGCCTTATCTCCGACTGCCGTTGCCAATAAAACTAAAGGCCGATCCAGAGGACTGTTTACCGCCACTATGTGCCTGCAGGAGAAGCGATACCCAAGCTGGAATGAATTCGATCGACTCACTTCCATGGGCGGTGGCGGCCCTCCAGCGGCCTGAGCTGCTGCCTTAGCGGCTGCCTCAGTGATATATCATCCAACTGCTGACCCCCGGGGTAGCACCTGATCCTGACCGGCC